GAAACATGAACATGAATTTCGAAGGAAAAAAGTTAAATGTTGGACAAGATAACTGACATTGCAAAGATACTCAGTAAGGAAGACCAAGGAATTGTACGATATTAGGGTGGCGAAGATTTTGCCACAAAGTGAGTTCCTTCATAAAGATATTCCTGCATTTAGAAATTTAGTTCAACTTCCTTGAATCGAAAATAAAGATACAGAGTTAAATTTACAACTCTCCGCAGCTTTATATCGAATTTATACATGTTATAATCTTATGGCTGACATTTTTACTTTAACTGATATGATCCATTTATTCTGGCATCTACAAGATGATGACAAACCATCAGATCAAAGATATGCAGAGAGAAACTCATGTCAATTTCGGATTGGAAGCAATGGAGGAACGGATTGTTTTAGCAGCAACTTCTGTACCGCGCCACCTCACTAAATAAATCTCAACATATGATCCCTGCAGGGCTATGTAATTTAAGTAACTGCAGTATCAACAAGCGGGATATAAAACCAAGAATGTGTAGGTCCAGAGGTTAGATATTTCACATACATGGACAAAGTTAGAATAGAAAATGCACCGAGGTCAATTCGTGTTGATTATTTGCCAAAAGAAGATGAATTAACGAAATTTACCTCTCCGATAAGTGCTGCTTCATCCATGTTCACCTCAGTGTGATTAACTTCATAGCATGGAAGCTGGGAATCAAGCCCTACCTTTAACATAAAAAAAAATTACATTTTCCAATAAGTTCATACATTCAAACAATATGTAAGAACACTTATATATAAATTATTAATCATTTCAAAAGAAATGCAGATTGCAGGCTACATAGAAAACAAAGATGTTGGTCATCGGTCAAGACAACACAAGTGTTTTAGGAAAGTTAAGTACCGGATCTATGCCACCCTTAGCCTCCAATATCTTGCAAATCACCTCTTGACTGAGGCTACGAGCGTCTGACAGTGGCTGCAAAATATCATTTATATCAGCAAATGCCGCAAACCATTTGTATTAATTGGAAGACAGTAAGATTATGATGAAGGAAAAAAACCATCACAAAGATATTCGGAACATCCTCAAAGTAAAATATAATTTTTCTTTTGATTATATTCTGTGTTCCTTTATTTTGATCATATTTCTAACTAAACAAATTGTGACAATCAATATATTTATGTATGTTTATAATTTATGTAACCCTATGTCATAGAAAATGCTTTAGTACTTCTTATGAGCCAAATTGACAAATTCGCGCATCAATGGAAAAAACACGGTTGAACTTACAGTGCGGCCCCAACGATATGTGGAGTTCACATCAGCACCTTTCTGAAGAGTGAAGAAGCAGAATAACAATCTCAGTGTGGCCTTCACAGGATGCCAAGTGAAGAGCTGTTCTCTTATTATAGTCAGCTAAATTCGGCTCCACGCCTTTCTCTAGCTCGCGCATCACTCCTGCTTTGTCACCCTTGCCCGAACAATATAGCAGCCGGTATGGACCTTCAAATCCAACAATCTTTTGAGACTTCTGCATGATGCAGCAGCAAGTAATGTTTTCAACATTTTTCTTACAATTGTTAGGAAATTAAAATCCACGCACCAAAAAAACAAAAATTTGTGTCACCAAAAAAAAAAATCACAAGTTCCTATCAGAAAGATGTGAATTTTTAGTTGGATTTTAGATTTTAATCCGACCCTCTATTTGTTTCCTAGGAAAATGAACGAGACTAAAACTAAATACTAAAAACGAAAATTTTTACGACAATAAATTGATAAAAAAAATGCTGTCAGACAAGTGAATTGAAAAGATGAGAATCAGAATGACCTTAGATGATGACAAGCCATCTTCCATGAGATGAAATAAGAAAAACTCTGAAAGCAATCAGAAAAAAGAAAAAAACAAATAGAGAAGTGTGATTTTTAATTTTTGTTTTAAGGGAATTAAGAGTTGGATTAGGGATAATGCAGCTGATTAATTAGTACGTTCGAAATATATGTGAACACTTATGATGTTTCGGAGTCGACAAGGTCTGTCAATTGTCTGTTTCTGGGGTTTTAGAACGAGTAGGCCGGAGAGCAACCTCGTACTCTTCGTTCGGTAAAGTTAGGATTTTGTCGACTTCTTGTTTGGTTACTGAGAAAGTTGAATAGGAAAATAGTGTACTTTTCTTGGTTGATTTTGCAATTGTATTAATTTATACATTTTATCTACTTGAACGTCTAATTCTCTACTAAATTAATAAGTTTTTAGTCAATTTGGTACAAATCTAGACTCCATGTCAAACCAAGTACGGTTCTTTTTCTTTTGAAAAAACGATATTATCTACCTTAAGACCAACTACAATGGTTAGGCTAAAAGTCAAATTTTTTAGCCCGGAAAATTTAGAGCCCTGTTTGGTATTCTACTTGAATCCAACTTTTTTGACTCAAAAACAATTTTCAAGTTTTAGACCTTAAAAACTTGTTTGGTATGACTAGTTTCAAAAACTGAACTCAAGACTAACTCAAAAATATAGTCTATTATCTAAAACATAAAAAGTGAGTTTTTAGAATTTTTAAACTTAAACTTACTCATTTCTTTTCTCTTCCTCTTTCCCTCTCACTCCAAATCTCTCTCTCTTTTCTTCTTTCTCTCTACTTTTTTTTCTTCTTTTTTTACCTTTTTCGTCTCTCCTCCAATCCACTCTATTCATTTTCTCAATTCTTTCTCTCACTTCTCTTCCTCTCTATCTCGTCCAATCATCTCTCTTCTTTCTCTTTCCTTCAATAATCTCTTACTTTATTTCCTCCTCTCTCTCCTCTTTCTCCTTCTCTTGTGACTCCCTCTTTTTAGATTTCTTTGTCTAGTTTAAGTTGTAAGATTTAAAAATTTTAAATCGCAAACCAACTAAGTTTTTGAGTCTTGAAGAAAATTATTTTTAAGAAATGTTTTTAATAAATGTTTTGAGAAATGATAAAAAATTTCAAATAAGATACTAAACAGGCCCTTAGCTTTTAGCCAAGAAACAACTTTTCAGCTCCAACTATTTTGGACTAAAATTTTAGCTCGGAATCATTAAAAAATGAACTTAGGCTATTTTTTTCTTAAATTAAATTTAAAAAAAAATATGTAGACTATCGTAAATTAATTTTATGAACATTTTAATCTAAAAATATTTAAATTCCGATAAATATTGAAAAATCACTAAATTTTCCACAAAGCAAGCCTTCAACTTTCCACTAATCTTTCAACCTTGAGCTAACTTTCAATTCACCAACCGTTCAACACCAAATTTTCAATTCACCAACTGTTTAACACCAAACTTTCAACTTTTATCAACCGTTCAACACCAAACTTTCAACTTTCACCAACCGTTCAACTTTCATCAATCATCCTCTGTATAAACATATGTCCAATATTAGTTAATCGCACAACCTTTCAACCTTCAATCATCCTCTATATTCACCAATCTTTCAACTTTCAAAGAGTTTTTGTGTGAATATTTGAACAAATACATAGGTATTTATAGAGTTTTTGGATGAATTTTGAGTTAAATAATTTTTTTTTAAATTATTTTAGCCGTTGGATTTAAATTTGGGCCGTTAGATCTTTTTTAACCGTTAGATTTGATTATATTCGATTTCAACCGTTGGATTCAATAATATATAAATATAAAATAAAAAAAATTTGAATCTAGGCCGTTGGATTAGCCAATGGCCTGATGATCACAGTCGTTCGATCGAAAGAGCCGTTGGAGCTTTGGGGAACGTGGCCGACAGGCTCACGTGGGTGGGTCCTAGTCTGTCGGAAGGAGCGCGTGTTAGGCGCGTTTGGCGAGTCCACGGGCTGGGTTTGGAGCCCAAACGCTGAAAACCACTCTCTTCGGTGGGGCCCACTCCAATTTTGGGCTAAATTTTGGGCGGTTTCTGGCCTACTTCCCCTTTTAGCATCTAGCCCACATTTTTCCCTTGGGTTGGAGTGAGTGTGGGGAATTAGCATTTAGCTCACCATTGGAGGTGGTCTAAGACCATCTCCAACCCTTGGGCTAAAAGCCAAATTTTTTAGCCCGGAAAATTTGGCTTTTAGCCCAAAAACATCTTTTCTGCTCCAACCCTTCTGCCGTAAAATTTTAGCCGGTAATTATTAAAGAATGAACTTAGGCTAATTTTTTTCTTAAATCAATTTTTTTTAAATAAATATGTAGATTATTGTAAATTAATTTTATGAACATTTTAATCTAAAAAAAATTTAAATTCCGATAAACATTTGGCATTTAGCCCGGGGGGAAAGCTGGGGGGTATTTGGCCCAGAAATAACATTTGGCATTTAGCCTAAAATTTTAACATGGGTTGGAGAGTGTTTGGGGGGGTAATTTGGCTTTTAGCCCAGGTTTGGAGATGGTCTAAGGGGGAGAGGTGGACTTAGCCTTATAATGGGCTAACAATAATGTAGTTCAAACTTACATTTAGCTAGATCGAACTTAAGACATTTTACTTACAAGTGAAGAAGAATACTTCACTAGATCATAATACTAAATGACTATGAGTACATCAATAATGAATTAAATAATTAAATAATTTAATAAAGAATCAAATAATTCGAAAGATAAAAAAATAAATTAATACTATTTTAAAATCTCAAAAAGCAGTGTGAAAAATTAAAATTTCATGGCTCAATTTAAAAAACACCCGAAATATATAATAAAGGGTGTAATAAGTGAGAGATCTTAAGTTTGAATCGTGTAGAGACGAATTCGATACCAAATTAGGTTGTTTATTGTATGGCTTAGTCGAACTCCTACATCCTCTCAATGTAAAATATCATTGTACCTAAAAAAATTGTAATGTATAATTAGCCCAAAAGAGCTAGTTACTACTATAGTCTGGTAGTATTTCTCTTCAATTGAAAGTGAGAGGTCTTAGATTCGAATCTCGTAGATGATAAACTTGATACCAAATTAGGTTGCCTATTGTATAACTTAGTCGAACTTCTCTGTCTCTTAAATGTAAAAATATCAATGTACTAAAAATTATTAGCCCAAATGAATTTTAAATTCGGAAAAACCCTTACATTGAGATTAAAACACAATTACCCTCCAAAGAGAAACCCCAACCTAATTCGCGCACAGAGTCTCACTCTCCTCACTCGCTCGCTCGCTCGCTCACCACCACCTAGATTTGAGGCATGGCGCTGAACGAAAGCGGACCCGATCCGGAAGATGAGGAGCTGGAGCGCCAAGTGGATGAAATGGCGAAGAAGGTTCTCGAGTACAGAGCAACTTTACCAGTTCAGCTCAAGAACACCGTCGCCTCCATTCTCGCCGTCCAGCCGCCCGTATTTTTGGATGGGTCGGGACCAGGGACGTCCGGAGCTCCAAATTTTGGTACGGTCCTCTTAACCTGTTGGGTTTTGTAAAATTTATAGGGTTATAGTATAATGAATATCGTTGTTATCAGATTGATACTGTTTGAAACTCTGTAAAGTCTGTTCGGTAGCTGAGAAAATTATAGGTTTGAATAGAAAATGAAAAGTTGGGGTCTTTTTATAGGAAAGGTGGAATTCTAATTTTGTTTAGGTGGCTGCAAAGAGATTTGGATGGATTTTTATGTTTCTGGACAACAATGGTGTTAGGATCCTAGATATGGGGTTTATATATATATATGGTATTTTGTCTTATCTTTGTAGTAGTTGGCTTCATCCAACGGTCTGAAGATAGAGATGTGTTCCCATCTGGGCACTCCTCTACTAGGGTTGTATATAAGCCTCCTTTTCACCATTTGGGAAAGGCATGAATAAGAAGACTTGTTATTTTATTTCTTACTTTCCTTGCATTTTCCATTCCTTCTCCAGTCCTTTGGAATGGGTCCTATCATTTGGTATCTAGAGCCCAGGTGTGCTTCCATGGGCAAGCGGCCGGCATCGGTGCCCGTGGCCGACGTTTCGAAGGCGGTACACGACTGGCGGTTTCCGCAACAACAAATCATCACTCAACTCCAGAACTTCCGTGACAAGGTCACGATGATGAACCACCAACTCACCGATCTGCAACACTCTCTCGCAGATCTGGCCATCCTCAGTGCTCGGCAGGAGCAATTCCGACAGACTTGTCTTGAAGAGCTCCGTTCTCTAAAAACCCAACCCACCACCCTCCCTCAGCCTACATGGAGTACACCTCCGCCACAGCTCATCGCTACCTTCCACCCGTCGAGGACCCCTTTCGCTGCTGGTCCTTCGTCCCCCTCTCCTACCACGTCGCCATTCCACTCCTCTTCCCATTCCGTTTGTCATTTCTCCACCTCCCGATATTTACCCCAGTCCTCCAGCGACTCTGTTTTCCATCCATTTGACTATGACCCACATTCCTTCCACCACTACCCGCCCCCTTCCCCAACCCACGACCCCCATTTCACCCACGCCTACTCAACCCCTCCCCATTCGCCCATGACCATTCCAGCTCCAGACTTACCAGGGCCGACGACGTCCACACTCGCCGTCCTGGAGTTCACAACAGCATCGCTCGAGCCGACTCTTCATCCCGTGAGTCTGGACAAGTAGGTTCAGCGGGTTACGGCATCCGTGTCTTCTCTGCGTGTTTGCCAAGACAGGTTGCAAACTCAGCCTACGGAAGGTGAAGACGGGATAGAGTCTCAATTGGAGGGTTTGGATTCAACGCTTGGATTGAACCCTTCCCGTGCACTTGAATCGACGCCATCAAACCCTTACCCGAGGCTGCTTATATACTCGACACCACTGACCTCCATTCCGCACTTGGAGTCAGTTACGAAGGCTCCTTGCTCCTTGTCAACCATTTTGATTCCCTCAATTTTGCCAGGAATTGGGTCTTCGCCTAGTGCCCATGGGCTATCTTCAAACCACACCATATCTTCCATTGCAGATTCCATCATCTGCACCACCGCAGCTAAGACACCATCGTGTTCCACCGTTACCTTCGACGTCTCCGTTGTTGACAGCAATGGCGACTCCATCCAGAACCCGTGCTTCCGTAACGGTTGAGCGCTCCTGCACAAAGACTCGTTCTGGCCATGCTTCTACGCAACTCAAGTGTTTCCTGCAACTAATTTCTTCCGTGGAGATGAAGAGGAAGCCTACGTCAGAGATCTTTGGCTACCGACAGTCCAAGACCTCTTTGAATTTTTCCTCCTCCTCTGTAGGATCAACTTTACGCTCTTACTGTTGCACTAAGGGTCTCATCCATACCGTGCTGATTAATGATGTTACCTCATCTTGCTGGAAATGTGGCTCTCAGACTAGCTGCAATGGCAGTCGAGTTATGCCACCATTGGGTAACCCTACTCATGCGATTAAATATCTCTCTCCTAAGGAAGATTTTATTCAGATTGCTCACCGAGTCCCCCGACCACAGGAACCCGACAAGGCCCTCTGTTGTCCGGTACCCATATTGCGTTATCCACTGAAAAATGCACGGTTGCATTTGGAATTTCTTACACACCATATGACCGTTGAAATGATTGTGTTTCATTCCTGTGGGAGCCGCATAAACATATTTGTTGTGTTTAAAAACATGCTGAAGAGAGAAATGGCCCAAACATATGTGCCTGACCTTTTACTTGATCCACACCATTGGATGGAGATTACTAAATCGATTCTTGACTTTCTGCTTGTTGAAATTAGGGAACGTTGTACCATGGATTTGTTTCTTTATGCATTCGAATCCTTTGGTATTGGGAACAAGGTGTACCCTGAATTCTCACTTCATTGTCCTAATTGGTGGTTCCTAATGAATTCTTTCCTAACTAGAAATGTTCAGAGTGATACTGAGACCATTTTGGTTTCTCCCACTACCTTGTTGACTGGCACTTTTGGATGGGTGAGTTCGTGTTCTATGGATACTTTTTTAAGGATGATTGTGAAGGCACCGAAGTGGGAGTTTACTAGTAGAGGTTCCATTATTTGTTCTACAATTTGGCACAATAATTTAACTCTGATAGCCAATGGTAGTTTTTACCCTTTCATGAGTGGCTTGACTAAAGTAATTTCCACTTTTCCTTTATCTAGCCATATGATTGATACTATGACATCAGTTTGTCTACTTGTCTCCTATTGCAACACATGTGTTACTAGAACCATTATCAGGCTTTTGGAAAAATTTGCCAACTTGAAATGGCCTACAGATGGATCTTTTCGACAAGAAGAGGAAGTGTTTGTTGTTCTTATCCGTGGACACATACCTGATCCTCTCCAAATCATGGCAGAGTCACTTTCTCTTCATTTTCAGAAGTTGATTTCTATGGTTCTTTCTCTAGCAGTGGGTACTGAGCATCCTTCTTTCTCTAGCAGTGGTTCTTTCAGAAGTGTTTGCTCTTCTTTTTCTCCTAATCTTGTTGAGATTGAGAACTTCTATTGGATGATCATCTGTCCCACGTTGCAGTCTCTGCATGCGACTGAGCATCCTATGCTCATGGATAATGCATTGAAAATTTTCATAGCAATCTGGTATGCTACACTAGAAACTATGCTATTACAGTTTTCTCTAACTTTGCCTCAGTTCATGAGTGTCGAGTCAACAGTTGTGCATTCCTTTGCTATCAATGCCCTTGCCTCGTCACAAAAAAGCAAGCACAATATTCTCCGGGAGCAATTTGGTAGTTTAGGCCCTGCTTACTTCAATTTTCATGACAATGAGATTACTGCGCTTCTCCAATTCAATCTGGCAATCTCTTTTCTAAGCTCTTATTTCCTTTATGTTCATCGATGGCACATACTTTTTTGGAGCCTATCAACAAGTTATAAACTATGTCTGCTTGGGATGTTTAAGGCTGCTATGTCTTACACAGGAACATGGTGTTTTGTGCTAATTATCATGCTGGTGAGACATTTTGGGGTCCAGCTGGACCACACTATATATAACCACGCCATTTTGGGACTTTGGACTGCCAAGAGTCTTGAACAAACCTGTCCTGTGATGTATGGTGTTTTGAGCCATTTTGGAAATGTTCTTAATATCAAGACTTGTGCCATTTTGTTTGCAGATCATTCCTTCACTATCAAAGAGCTGTTACGTTTGGCCGAGTTGATACAATATTGTGTGGCTAATGCCAATTTGTCTGATGCATCGCTACATACTACGAGGATGCACGATTATTATTCGATCAACACCAAAGTTGATGATACCTACTTGCAGAATGTATCACGGTATAAATTGCCGATCATTTTGGGTCTTTGTTCAGTACCATTATATGCATCAGGATCATTAAGGCCAAAGTTCTTCGGTTATTTCACTTTTCTGGATTTTTTGAAGCTAGTGTGCTTGTGGAATGCTAGAAGATTTGGAAATTTAGCATTTTCACTAAGGGTATATGCGGCTACATATCCAGCAATTAAGGTCAAGATTGCTATGATTGAATCATGCATGGTAGAAGCACAATTTTGGCCGGCTTGGTTCAAAATCTGTGTGGCAACCAATTTTCTTGTGGTATGTTGGGAGATTCACACTGCGATGGTTTTGGAGGCATCTTTCATGATATTGTTTTGGAACTCAAAGGCTTGGGTGAACAAGCAACGCAATCCTCTACATGCCAACTTGACGACATGAGGACATGCCTTCTTTTAAGGGGGAGGGAATGTTAGGATCCTAGTTATGGGGTTTATATATTTATGGTATTTTGTCTTATCTTTGTAGTAGTTGGCTTCATCCAACGGTTCTGAGGATAGAGATGTGTTCCCATATGGGCACTCCTCTGCTAGGGTTGTATATAAGCCTCATTTCACCATTTGGGAAATGCATGAATGAAAAGACTTGTTATTTTATTTCTTACTTTCCTTGCATTTTCCTTTCCTTCTCCATTCCTCTCGAATGGGTCCTATCAAATGATATGGATGGGAAAAGTTTGCATTGACAATGACATAGTGTTTAGCAACCCATCTTTGTAGGTAGTGATCATACAGTTCATACTAGCATATCGGCGCTCACACGCCGAACATGGCTGATAATGCGATGATGTCTGCTTATTTTTCCATCTCACTAAGGGAGACTCAATAGTGGAAAAGCTGAAGTGAGAGAAAATTCCTCACCCTTCCATGGTGATCACTGAAGAGTGGAGTAAATTAGTGAAACAATGGTATGTTGCTATGTTGCATTGCATAGTGATGAACAAATGTTATTGGGGACAACATTGGTGGTGGTCATAGTGGCCATCTTAGTGTCGGTGTCAATGGAAACGCGAAGGTGGAGATGATGTCTCTGGTTATGTAGTTGATACTGTAGATATCGAAATTTCGGTAAATAAATGTTGACCGATAAATCAAAGTTTCAACGCTCATGTATTACATAAATTTTACACGTAGCGTGTGTCTAAACAAAAAATCAAAATAAGTTTGAAAAGTCATCAAACAGGACACGTGTCAACACCTGGCAGAAACGACTTATTTCATCTGGAATATTATATTCAAAATTAGGCATTGGAAAATTCTATAAACAGAAGCCAATTTCATTCATTTAATGGAGGAACTAATTCATATTACACCTTGAAGTTCTGAAGCTCTGAAACTCCGAAGCTCTCAAACATCCAGGTTCCCGAAGAATCAAGAAAGTGTTATTCGTTCTTCGTTCATCGTTCATCCTAAGATCAAGCCCAAACGGCCCTTTGGATCAACAAACATCCACCAATTCAAGATCAAGCCCCAACGACCCTTGAAGAAAGTGTTCTTCGTTCTTCGTTCATCGTTCTTCCAAGATTAAGCCCCAACGGCCCTTTGGATCAACAATCATCCACCAATTCAAGATCAAGCCCCGACGGCCCTTGAAGAAAGTGTTCTTTGTTCTTCGTTCATCGTTCATCCTAAGATCAAGCTCCGACGACCCTTTGGATCAACAATCATCCACCAATTCAAGATCAAGCCCCGACGGCCCTTGAAGAAAGTGTTATTCGTTCTTCGTTCATCGTTCTTCCAAGATCAAGCCCCAACGGCCCTTGGATTAACAAGTAACCGTTCTTCAAAATTGAAGATCCGTTCATCACTGTTCTTCAAGATCAAGCATCCGTTCATCACTGTTCTTCAAGATCAAGCCTCAATGGCCCTTGAAGAAACACTCATCCTCAAGATCAAGCCCCAACGGCTCCTTGAAGATTCGCTTAAATCCACCTTCAAGAATCAAGCCCACGGCCCTTAAAGAACGTTCATCCAAGATCAAGCCTCAACGGCCCTTGGATCAATCACACATCAACAAATACACACCTTACGGAGATCGAATCAGAGGATCAAAATTGAGAGAGATTGTAACCCAAAATCATCAAATACAAATATTATTTTGTGCAAGTTGTTCTTGTCTCTTTCTTTTCGGGAATTTTCCGTGTTCACAAATTGGCACGCCCAGTGGGACCATCTCTGCCTCTCATCTTTTTCTCCATTCAAGAAATTCAAGCGCACTTCCAAAATTAATGGCATCAAGGAAGGCTCAAACTGTTCCCGCAACCGGCGCAAAGAACAAGAGCGTCTTTGTCGCAAGTGGTGTCACTTTGGGTATCACGACTCGAAGCATGGCAAGAGCTACTTTTGCCGCCTCTTTCACCTCTGCATCAACTCTGCCAAGGGAACAAGAGCACCTAAGGCACGAGCCTTTGATCACCTTAGCCTCATTAAGGGCACCAAGGGGGGAAAGCCCAAGGATATACTCTGAATCCATGCTCTCTGATGCTGATTCAAGCGGCAGTTCCGCCATGTCATGACCATTGGAGCAACTTCAATCGATGAGCAGTTGGCTCAAATGAATGAAGCAATCGCAAGGCTAACCCGAACTGTGGAAGAAAAAGACTTGCAAATTGCAGCACTCGTCAGCCGACTGGAGCCACAGGACGACGAAACCCCCGACCCAGAGAATGATCCACTAAAGAGAAGAGATGACGAAGAAGATGAGCCTCAGGTGGAGAAAAACGATGTGAAGCCGGAGCCAGACCAAGCAGCGGCACTCATGAGATCTCTTTCTATCCAGCAGCTGCATGAGATGATCACCAACACCATCAAGGCACAGTACGAATGGAGCTCACATACCTCCTTGTTCTACTCGAAACCCTACTCTAAGAAGATTGATGCCCTGAAGATGCCAAGGGGTTATCAACCACCAAAGTTCATGCAGTTTGATGGAAAAGGAAACCCAAAGCAGCATGTTGCACATTTCGTCGAAACTTGCAACAACGCAGGGACCAAATGGGACTACCTCGCCAAGCAGTTTGTGCGCTCGCTGAAAGGAAACGCCTTTGAGTGGTACACGGACCTAGAGCCTGAGTCCATTAACAGCTGGGAGCAATTAGAGCGGGAATTCCTTAACCGCTTCTATAGCACCTGCCGCACTGTGAGCATACTAGAGCTAACGAGCACAAAGCAGTGGAAGGACGAGCCAGTCATTGACTACATCAATAGATGGCGCACTCTAAGCCTCAACTGTAAAGACAGGCTCTTGGAAACCTCTTCAATTGAGATGTGCATCCAAGGCATGCAATGGGGTTTGCAATACATCCTTCAAGGCATTAAACCACGGACCTTCGAGGAATTGGCCACTCGCGCCCATAACATGGAGTTGAGCATCGCCCATCATGGGAAGAAAGAACCAATCGCTGACTACAAGAATGACAAAGTTGTTGGGCCAAAGGAGGAGAAGACTGCGTGGAAACCCACCAAAGAGACAATGACGGTCAACACAGCTCCCGTCAAAATCTCCACACGAGGCAAGGCGATTCAAACTGAAGCTTTTCGTGATCAAGAGATGCGTAGACGCACTTTGAATGAGCTTGAGGAGAAGACTTATCCATTCCCTGACTTTGATGTGGTTGCCATGCTGGATGACCTGTTAGACAAGAAAGTGATCAGTTTGCCTGAGTGCAGACGACCGGAAGAGATGAATTGTACCGACAGCCCAAGATACTGTAAATTCCACCGCTTCATCAGCCATCCAACGGAAAAGTGCTTCGTACTGAAAGATCTCATCCTGAAGCTAGCACAACAAGGGAAAATCGAGCTTAACCTTGAAGACACGGTTGCGCCACACACTACTACTATCGTGTTTGGATCACTTGATCATGTGCCTCTCCGAAGCATGCATGACCATTCCCGTCAATATTCAAGTCACAAGACACTTCCTACACAACCATCACCGGGGGCAAGCAACCAAGATGCATCTACTAGTGATAAGAAAGGGTGGACATCGGCGACCTAAAAAAACGAGGAAGCCAAAACCACAAGCCACAAGGCCAAAAGAGGAGCCTAAACCCGCCCCTCGAACTTCAGTCTTCGAAAGGCTGGATTATTCGAAACCTAGAATTTCGGCACTTGATCGCATCAGTGGTCGAGACCAAACTTCCGTCTTCAAAAGGCTTGAGACGCCAACACCGCAAAGATCTGTCTTTGAAAGGTTATCAAAACCCAAGAAACAAAGTGGCACAACTAGATCTCCTCCGCAACGGTCGGCTTTGGACAGACTTGAAGAAACTAAGAAGCCTTCTAGAAACAGGAAGACAACGTCAAATGGAGAAAAGCTCGACAGTCTAGCAGGAAAAGACGATGTTCAAAGCTTGATTCCTTCAATGATGAAGCGCTAAGCAACTTTGGAAGTCGACACAAAAGGACCATTGAAGGTAAGGAGGCGCACCATCATCTACACTGGCCAATCTTCACGGCAACAAACCCAAGAGGACCGCACTGAAGAGGAGGCCCAAGAAGACAAAGAAGATGAAATCCTGGAAGAAGACGTCACTTCCGGCTCTGTCAACTCAAAATCTTCACCTCAATCGCTGGGGGCATGCTCCAAAAACATGCCAGTCAAGCGGAGGGAAGTTGAAGGATGGACTTACGTCACTCCGAAGAAACTGCACAAGAAGCATATGTCTTCTCCACAAGTTCACCAATGGGAAAGGGGGCAAAGCAACTCCTGTTCACCTCCAGAACAATGTGAAAGTGTTGGAGATAATGAAACTTTGACACGAAGATCATCCATCCCCATCACGATGCGTGACATCTTCCCAGAAGACTTCTTCAACTACTCAGTCAAGGCTCCTTGCTATGAAGATTGCGAGGAATGACTCTCTCAGATCGCTTGACGAACCAACAAGGCTCCTCGCCTGCACGAGCCTAAACTGCATGGCACTGAGCTCCTGGTCTGCACGAGCATAAAAGGCAACACCAACGCTCCTTGCCTGCACGACCTGAAACTGCAACACGGCACAACACTCCTGGTCCACACGAGCCTAAAAGGTGACAACTAAAGCTCCTGGCCTGCAAGAGCATAAACTGTGTACGGTAAAATCATCATTAAAATCACTGTTAAATTCATCACTCATTTGAACTACGTTATGACTTGATCTCTTCTTTGGAAGAGTACGTAGGCAACTTGAAACTTCAAAACTTCAAGTACAGTCACATCATCATCAAAAACACAAACACTTTGAAGAATAAAAAGCAAATTCAAAATATGAATACTTTATTTCTTTAAAGGAATGATTTGGTTACAAAGCCGTATTACAAAGGTGAGCATTACGCCAACGTCACCACCGAGGAAAGTTGTGATCAAAAGACACTACACAGCATAAACTCACTGCAGTCTTTTGCACAACCCCACAAGGTAAAGGTGACGCACTGGAAGAAGCTCGGAGCAGCAGCGGCAAAGAGCTTACGACAAGCAGCAAGGTCAAGGTGCACAACGTCTCCACCGAGGAAAGTTGTGACCAAAAGACATTTCACAGCGAAGCCCCGCTGCAGTTTCTTGCACAGCACCACACGACAACGCACCACCGAGGGAAAACTGTGATCAAAAGGCACTACACAGCGAAACCCCGCTGCAAATCTTTTGCACAACCCCACATGGCAAAGGTGACACACTGGAACAGGCTCCAAGCAGCATCGGCAAGGAGGGGCAGCTACAAGACGGTTTTTCCAAGCGGAGGCAAGAAGCACATCAACGTCTCCACCGAGGAAAGTTGTGACCAAAAGACATTTCACAGCGAAGCCCCGCTGCAGTCTCTTGCACAGCACCACACGGCAGCGCACCACCGAGGGAAAAAGACTGTGACCAAAAGGCACTACACAGCAAAACCCCATTGCAGTCTCTTGCACAAGCACTACCACGTCTCTAGAAGCTTTGTGAGGCCCAGTCTGACCACCAAGCAGCAGCAAGCCCATCCTCACTTGTGTCTCGGCCCAGAAGCAGAAAGCTCAATTCACAAACCCAAGTGACAGTGACCAGGCCCAAGCCTA